TGGACAGGCGTGCGGAGCAGGAGCAGCGTGTGGACAAGCGGAGGCTGTAGAAGGTGAGAAAGAATGATTGCCTCGTTGGCGCCGTTTAAATAGGTTTCCGGAGGTGACGTCACTTCCGGGGCGGGAAAAATATTTAAAAGACTAAGTGGAGACTCCGGCTCGAACCTGAGTTCACCAGTCGGGACTTCCATTCATACACCATTGTACTATTGTCTGACATAATACCGACTGCTTTTACATGTATATAACAGAAAAGGTGAATGTTAAGGTGGAAAACAGAAGTGCTGAAGACCGGGTTCGAACTAGAGTTCACCAGGCGGGACTCCCAGTCGTATACCATTCGGCTATTGTCTGACAGTAATTCCGACTGCTTTTACATATATATTTACAAAGGAGGTGAATGTGAAGGAAAAAAATTAAGAGTGCTTAGAGCCTACACCTGGGCTCGAACTTGAGTTCACCAGTCTGGATTCCCAGTCGTATACCGTTGGGCTATTGTCTGACTGTGATACCAAATCGCTTTTACGTATATATAACAGAGAAGGTGAATGTGAAGGAATAAAACAAGTGATCAGGGCCAACACCCGGGCTCGAACTTGAGTTCACCAGGCGGTATTCCCAGTCGTATGCCATTGGGCTATAGACTGACTGCAGTGCCTGTTGCTTTTACATATCAAATTATTGTGACCAGATATTGAACCGGTAAAAGTATGTGTAAGGTTATGTAAATACGACCAACCAAATTGCAACCAAAGCTTTCTGCGTTTTCGAGTGGATAAAGACCTGACGTGGTCCCCGGGTTCGATTCTTGCTCAATTTATAAATGTAGCAGAGAGTGGGGCTCGAACCAGGGTCGCCCGATTACGACGCGTCGTCTTTTACCACTACACTATCCTACTGCGAAAATTTCGAAATTTTCAAATGTAATCATAGGCACATGACCTCGTATGGAGATTGATGAGACGGTTGCATCTCGTCGAGAATCCGCTTCTGGTCCAAACTTCGCCCCTGGACGACGTGACGGGAAACCCGGGTTCGATTCTTGCTAAATTTATAAATGGAGCAGATGGTGGGGCTCGAATTCGGTTCGCCGGACTACCACGCGCTGTCTTTCACCATGAGGCCATTTCGGAACGGAAATTTCGAATTTTTTTCTATGTTCTCACAGGTGGTTGACACACGAGTCGGTGAGACGGTCTGCGTGGAGTCGTCACTTATGAGATGGGCTTTGCCTTTGGGCGACGTGAGGCACTCAAACCTCACCCAAAACCATCGACCCCGCCAGTATTCCCAACCACTGCCTGCCTTCATCATGCCATCCTGACATTTACAAAGCCAACTTCGTTTTAAGATTGAAGACGAGTATCACAAAGAGATTGTGTCATTTTGTCATTTTGCATTATTGGCGATCGTGAATAAAGTTCAAATAAAACATCCATCCGCACACTTCCAAACGTGTAAGCCATCTTTATTCATTGTTTCAAGAAGCTGTGTTGACAAGGGCAACTCCGCTGGAACAGTCGAGACTATGGTTGCGGGGTGGTCACCACTGCTGGTCCCAACGGGGCCGGAGGCTGAAGTACCTGTAACACCCACAGGATCACGGTGAAATCAAACTTCGTTTCAGATTGGGGAGGAAACATCGGATGACTTTCTGAGGGCCCCGATACCCCCCCCCCCACGTCACTGTCTTTCGGAATATATAGATTAGATTAGATTAACCAATCAATACGCCACCACCACTTCCAAAACAAAGTTTACCCAACGACGACAATGCGTCAATGGGAGGCTTGTGTGTCGGCGGGCGGGGGGCGACGTCCTGACCGTCCGGCAGAGGATCATTTACCAAAATTCTGCCAACCGCTTGATGACAGCTGTTATGAAAGCGCTGATGTATAAAATTACCACACGCTATTTTTTTCTGAACATGCTCAAAATTTCTTTGTGGTGTTGAGCTGCTGGAGGGGAGGTGAGCTGTTCGGAGCTGGTCGTGTCGTAGCCTCGCTGGTCGTGTTGTCCCCTCCTTGCTCCGAGGACACCTGCATGAACTGCAGCAGAATGCGGTCAACTCCCAGCCCCTGCGCCACCAGGAGCAGCCTGTCACAGCCGGACAGTCTCACAAACATTTCAGTCTCAAACTCCAGCAGAGGGCTCGCCATTGGCAAGGGGAAACAATTGTAAGTCGAGGGGTTCGTAGGTTTTAGATGGATTTGCTCTACGTTTAGAATGGAAAAAAAGCAGAGGACGACTTCGTTTGAACACAGCTCTTTTCTCTTTTTTTTATTTTTTCCACGGCTGCCTCCTAACTCTCCAACGAACACTCCCCCTTCCGGTAACGTCCCCTCCTTCCTGCCTTTCTTCACCAATCACATGCAAGCAACATAAGAATACTTCAGGAAGCATCAAACAGAATGCAACTAACATAAAAGAATACAATGCCCCAACATAAAATGACAATAATTAACAATTCAACAAAAGCTTACACAATCAACCCGATTTCGATTTTCCAATACCAGCTAACAGCAGTAAGAATCATTGCAAAATTCGACCGCGAACTCGCGGGAGGCTCGCGCCCGTCGTCGAAAGTGTTGACGCTTCAAAACAAACCAAACAACAACACAACAAAAGGTCTTCACGAAACGTAAGGGCGCCGTCTACTGGTGCACAATAGGAATGACAAACCTGCGACTGAAGTGGTCCACAACTTTACAAGTGTCGTCCCACCAAAAATACAACTCTCTGGGTACCTTAATTGTCGGGGGGTCAAATATATTGGTCTTTGTTGTTTGTTTATGTTCCCCTGGACGAGTCGTAACTGGAAGGAGGCGGGGGCTCAATTCCTTTTCTGGTTTGCATTCTTGACCAATACGGTGAATTTGATTCCGATTCTGATTGCTTGCCAAATGCCTTTGTGGCTTCCTGAACAGCAGGGGGCGATATGGACCATAGAGATCAAATCTACCAAGAAGAAGAACAAGGACAACAACAAGAAGGGTACCACATCCGGTTCAGCGAGCAAGTTTTTCCGCGGGCAACAAGCCGGGCTCACAGTGAGTAATTTTAACATTTTAACGAACTATATGTAAATGTATTGATGCAGACAACTTCGGAGCATCATTACGGCACGTCGCTCCTCTAATTTGTCGATTGTTACGAAGTCATGGAAGTTATCGTAAAAACACAACAGAGGTGGCCAGTTCACAAATGAAGGCAGATTTGTCTGAAAACTATTCCCACAGATGCATCCGTGACTTTTTTGAAATTGTTTTTCGAAATATATTTGTGGTTTTCATAAAATGAATCCCAAATTACATAAAATACGTGTTGATAATGTCCACAAATATACTCGTCATTTTCACACGTGTTTTCGCGTCCCCAAATCCATGCAGGATTTTGACGTGTTTCTCTATGTGGCGTGAGCATTTCTCATGACTTTGAGATCCAGTTTTCGTCCGCGAGGAGGAGGCAGTGTTGCTGTCTCCAATTTACGGGAACTTTAGTGGACGGTTGAACGACGTTGAGTCTTTTCAATAGTTGAGCAGTTGATTGAAAGGAGGTTGCTCAATGTACATGAGATGTGGAGAGAAAGCCGCGAGCGGGCAGATTTGGAAATGGACGTTTTAGAAGTGAAGGTTTGCCACTTACTCTGTGAAGAATAACACAAATCAGAACAAAAACCTACCAAAAAAACTTTTTTTTTGGGGGGGGGGGGGCAGAAGAGTATGACTTCCCACTTTTGTTTTTTTTCTGCCTGACAGATTGAAGAGGCTTCTGGCCAAAGGTGCAGCCGACAGACTCGGAGGACATGCGGAAGGGAGCCCAACCTTTGGACACATGTGAGTTTTGACCCTTGTTGTGTGCTTGAAGAGCTGATGTCTGATGTCACGTCACACCACAAGGTGGAGGTGAGTGCGCCCGCCTTTTTTAATTTTATTTAATTATTACATAGTCATTATTATAATGACTAACTTGGCCCACTTCAATGTCATTTAAAAACTTAACCAGAAGAGTGTGATCATGATGTTGTGGAGTACACGGCACTTAGTTTTTGTCTCAGTGAGAGAAGTCGGATGTGCTCATGTACCCCTTAGTGTGTCATCACACATGAGCTCAGCAAGCACAGGCAAGACGTCAGACTGTCGTCAGTGTTTGTGTGTGCGCAACTTGCACTGGCCCACACAAACAGTGACTGGTAAAATGCTTTCACATTGTCCTGTTAGCTTTTCTGTCCAATAAATTGTTCAACTTGAATTCGAGTCTTTGCCTTTCATGACTAAGTCCATCCTCAACTCACTCGAAGCCTTTCATGCTGAGTGGTCACTGCAGCGGAAGACTTCTCAAAGACTTAAGTTTTGAGGAGAGAGTTGCACATCAGTCACTCGTATGGCCACAAGTGTAACACTGCCATTCCGTTGGTCTCCACATGACTCGAAACTCCAAGAATTGAGCTTTTGGGTCATGTGAAACCGACGGGAACAGTGAAGAGACTGTCTGGTGTGACCGAAGGGCAGCTCTCACCTCAAAACTCAAGTGGGACTTAGAAATTTTTCTGCAAAGGCTGCCCAAACCACACCCAATTTCACATCCACCAATCACGACGAGGCCCTCATTTGCATAAATTTGCATAACCAATCAGAACGCTCGGATTTGCATAACCACGCCCACTTCCCAATATTCAACCAATCGGATTGCTCTAAATTTGCATATCCACGCCCCTTAAAGACCCAACCAATCAGAGCATACCTTATTTGCATAACCGCACCCTCGTTTCCACCAATCACAGCATGTTATTGCCATGCTCCACCCACTTTTACAGCCATCAGCGAATCATGAGCCATCATTCCAGCTATGCCACACCCACTTTCCTCAATTTTTCTACCCAGGGAAAAAAAATCCCCGAAAAAAAAAAATTCCAGAAAAAATTTTTGGAAAAAAAAAATTTAGAAAAAATTTTTTGAAAAAAATTTAGAATGTTTTTTTTTTTTTAAATGTTTTAAGTTATATTTTTAGGAATGAAGTTGAGAGTTTAAGTGTTCTTTGTAATCAAGCTTTATTTCTTTTGCAGAACAATCACAAAGCAGAGGAAAAAGTTGCAAGTTGGATGGCAGTCTGCACGTCGCTGCGTGGTGAAGTGGTCGGCTCGTGAGAACAACGTCGGACAGGTGCGTTGACCTGAGAGAAAAGACATCCGTGAGTTACACGCAAGTCAATGTCTTGTGCAGACAAAGATGTTTTCGGCGTGAAACTTACCAGCAAGAGACAAGTTGTTAGGTCTTTTGTGCAGGAAGCCGATCATGTTTACTGCTGCCTGAAGTGGGGGGGGGGGGGGGC